TAATTGAGGCATACAGGAGTTAGCTAAGTTGCCCAAGCTATCACTGTTCTTTAGTAGCTGGAGCCAAGATTCAAGATGGGCTCTCTAGCTCTTTGTACCTATGTAGTGGGTTGTTTTTCACTCTGGAAACACAAGTCTGTTTTCTGTTTCATGTACCCTTAACTATAAAAGTTGATTTTGGCTTAAAAACATTGTTTTCCTTTGTAAGATTTTAATGTTAAGAACAATTTTGTAATTTTTTTTTCTATTTGATTATAATTTGAAGGGTAAAGTAATAGTTAGAATTTAAATTTTAGCAAGCTAAAGCAGATTCCATGAATGCACTTGTTGGAAAAGCCATCTGTATTTATGTTAGTACAGTAGCATAGTGTGCACATCTGGGAATTAGCACCATCTACTGGAAAAGAGAAGCAATGACTTTGTATGCCAATAGAGTATTGTGTGAAGCAGTATACATTACTATGATGTTGTTAAGTACCATGGAGTTGGTTCCTACTCATAGTGACCCTGCACAGGGTTTCTGAGGCTGTAAATCTTTATGAGAACAGAATGCCTCATATTTCTCCCACTGAACTGCTGGTAGTTTCGAACTGCTGACCTTGAGGTTGGCAGCCTGACTTGTAACCACTATGCTACCAGAGCTCCTTATACTATAGGATTTTTTTTTTTTTTTTTTGAGAAGCTGCTTCTGAGAGGATATAAATGCTTTCTAATTCTTCTGTTTAATGAATTTTGTGCCTTAGGATTTTTCCTTAAACTTACAAGTATCAATTATATACGACACTTCTGTATAACGGAGATTAAGTTGAAGAAAGATAAAAGAAAAGGTAGTTTCTTAAATCTTTTATTCTACACATAATGTTTTTCTAATCATACATAAACGAGCTCTGGTAGCGTACTGTTTACGAATCGGGCTGCTAACCTTAATGTTGGCAGTTCGAAACTACCAGCTGTTCCACAGGAGAAAGATGAGGCTTTCTGCTCCCATAAAGATTTACAGCCTCAGAAACCCTGTATAGGGTCACTATGAGTAAGAATCGACTCCATGGTACTTAACAACAACAACAACAATCATACATATGTTATAATAGAAATAACAAACAAAACTGTCATATTGGGTCAGTATGAACTCTATTTAGTTTACTGTATGTTTTGACTTAGCTAAATAGTATTTTCTTTGAAAAAAGATTGGAATTAATAATAAAGTTAAGTCAGAGTTCTCAGTGACTAATCCTGCAAGCTTCTCTTTATGCAATTCTTTGTATTAATCTAAATTATTCTCTATACTACTAAAACTGGTTTTGCTTTTATTTACGTCAGTGGCCTAGCATTTTGCTTTATCCTCTTCTAGACTGTTAACTGTGCAGGTTCTGACTCATAGTGACTCAGGAGGACAGAGTGGACGTATTTCTAAGGCTATAATCTGAACAGAAGCAGATCACTACGGCTTTCTCCTGTGGAGTGACTGCTGGGTTCAAACTGCTGACCTTTCAGTTAGCAACCAAGCTTAATCCCTGCACCATCAGCGCTCCTTTGTTTTATACTAACTCCTGTTATTTAATATGATTCTCTGTTGCCTTTTTTCTCTCCACTACCTGACCTATGTGACTTAAAAAAAATGTATGAAAAAATCAGTTGTTGTCTTCTCACTTCTTTTTTTCCCCTCTGTATGTCTGTAGGCACTTTACAATCACAGCTACCTGAGATGTAATAATTTTAGTTAAAGATGAAATTATAATATTTCTAGACAGAGGGACATGGTGATTACTTACTGAGTGTTGGTTGAGTGATTCACTAAGGGAACATTAAGAAACTAATTTGTGCTATGGAGCAGGAATTATTGTTAGTGAAGGCATTGGTCTTATACATTAACTTATAAGTCTTCTGAGCACTGTAAAGTTGTTCATTTGCCCTGTGGTTATTTAACATTTAAAAGGGAGAACAGTTTAAAATGCTAGCTTATTTTTGGTGTCCTTTAGAAAAATGATTAAATAAAAACTTATTTCTTCAGAAATGGCAACTATAATTTTAGACCTTCTGTCAAAATGTCACATAGTTGGATATAAAAAATCTAAAATGGCTCTTGTAATAGAATTTTTAACTCATGTTAAAGATAGGTGCGGTGAAGAATTTGAAAAGGAGGTCATTTGTATTCTTTTTGTTGTTTCTTTGTTCAACTATTTTACTTTTGAGCATTCATTGCTGCTTAAAATAAAACCGAACCTTTCTTAATCTATTTTGATAGCTTAATGTTTTTATTTTATGAAAAAAGATTTTCAAATTAACTATGTGTATGAAGGAGATTTTAAGAAGTTTGTGTGAAAATGAAATAAAAAATAATGGAATTTTTCCATGAGCTTTTAAAAGCTCCATTGTATGTACTTTTTTTCTCCAAATACCTAACCATGTTCCTGGAACTTAGTCATTTATTTAGGGACAGTATACGGAGACTTGCACAATATCTTAAAAGAAAATTTTATTTTTGGTCTTACTGTTGTTGAGAAGATACACAGCAAACCATATACCAGTGCAGCATATATAATTAAGGGACATTGATTACATTCTTCAAGTCGTAAACCACTCTCAGCCTGCTTTTCAGAATGGTTATTCCATTATATAAAATCAGTGGCCTCTTAGTTTTCTATCTTATCTTTCAAGTTATTCTTGTCAATTGATTCCATATGGATGGTTCTTAAAAGAGCACTGTGTGTGAGACAGACATTCTTTACTATTTAAATTAATGTTTGATTTAAAGAAGATAATAGGGGTTATTTTAATTTAAAGTTTAGAGATGATCTCAGGCAATAGTCAGGGGTTCACGTAGCCTCAGTGGCTCCAGTAAGTCTGAATTTTTTGAACATTTGAAATTATGTTCTACATGTCCCCCCTTTTGATTGGGATTCTTCTGTAGAATCTTTGATCACAAGAGTCAGAAATGATAGCCAGTTCTTCTGGTCTCATGGCAGAGAGGCAGTTGTTTCACGGAGACTTGTAAAATATTATATGTATATTTGAATCTTTGGAGTCCTGATGTGGTGCTGTGGGTTAATGCCCTGAATTGTAAAGTTGATTTGAACTGCAAGGTCGGCAGTTCAAGCTCACCGGCTGCTCCTCAGAAACCCTATACAGAGTTGCTATGGATCAGAACCGACTCTGTGGTACTTAACAACAACACAACAGTTTGAATCTTTAAATCACACCAGTTGTTTTCAAAAAGCTTTTGCTACTCTCGGGTAATTTATTCCTTTCTTTTAAACTCTCTAGTTATTAACTATTCTTTGATTGTCTATGTTTTGTATTTTGCCTCCAGATTGATTGATAATAAATGGTTTAATTAAAGGCTACATTTCATCATGTTGAGTTTTAGGTTGGGGGTAACAAGAGGAATGGTTCTAGCCCTTTAAGGAACCATTATACTTTGTTACTAGAACCATAACCTTTTATTTTACATTATAAGAAAGAATGAAGAAGGAGCTATGATGCAACAAGTTATTAGTTGTAGGAGCCAATAGAGCTAGTCGGATCTGAGAAGTTTAGATGGAACAAAACCCTAAAAGTCAATGGATAAGTTGACATTTGAGTGGTACCTTAAAGAATCAAAACAAATTCATGGATGGAGATGAGATGAGGAAGGAAAGGGTGCTTCAGGCTGAGCACGCGATTGCATCTTGTATTTGGTCTCTGAAGCAATATTTGGCAAACTGATCTGATACTTCCTTGAATACTTGTAAGGATTCTGACTTTATGAATCATGAATTGCAGTTTCATATTCTTTCCTCTGCATATACACTGCCATTGAGCCAGTTCTGACTGATAGCGAACCTATATAGGGTTTCTGAGATTATAAATCTTTACCTGAACAGACAGCCTCATCTTTCTCCCATGCAGCATCTGGTGGTTTTGAATGCCAACCTTGTAATAAATTAGTACCCCAGTGCCTAACCTACAGTGCCACCAGGGCTCCTTTTCCTCTGTATGAATATATGTTTTTGCTTAACACAAATCTGCCTTCTTGAGAGTTTTGGTCTACCTTATATAGATTATAGTTTATATACTGCACAAAGGAGCTCAAGGGACGATGTTTGCATTTTCTCACCTACCAAAGGTCATATTCTAGTCCTTTCCAGAGGACAGACACTGTGTAGCTAGAGGAGTCCCTTCTGCTAGAAGTGATTCTATATTTGCTTTATTAGTGGATTCAGCACTTAGCTTCTAGATCATAGAAGCACAAATTAGGAACTCAGTGAATACTTTTTGTGTATTTAGCACGTTTTTTGTTGTTGTTGAGTGCCGTGAAGTCGGTTCTGACTTAAAATTACCCTGTATGGGGTTTCTTAGGAGCAGCTGGTGAGTTTTCACTGCTGACCTTGTAGTTCAGACTGACTTTGCAGTCCAGTGCATTAACCCACAACACTACTACAGGACTCCTAGTTAGCATGTTTAAAAGTCCAAAATTTACACTCCCCTCTGATTATGACTTTTCGCATGTGTTTTATGTGCTTTTAAATAATTAAATAATCTCTATCTATGCTCTTCTTGAAGTAAAGTTATTTATTTGAATGTCTATTATATTTTGTCAGATTGCTGTTGTTGATATATAGACACACCTCATTTACTGCTCTTTGCTGTATTGTACTCTGCAGATAGTGTGTGTGTCTGTTTTAAAAAATGAAAGGTTTGTGGCAACTCTGAATCTAGCAAGTGTCAGTGCCATTTTTTGGATATGTGCTCACTTAGTGTCTGTCACATTTTGATAATTCTCCAATATTTCAAACTGTTTCATAATGTACAGTTAATTGATTATAGTCTAGTGTAAACATAACTTGTATATGCACTGGGGAAACAAAAATATGTGTGTAACTCGTTTCACTCTGATGCTCGCTTTATTCCAGTGGTCTGGAACCTAACATACAATATCTCCAAAATATGCAAGTACTGGGTTTTTATTTCTGTTCTTCTGATTCTATTGATATATTAAAATATTTAAATTTTAATTTCAGGTATATTATATTTTTTTGCCCATGTGACCTAGTTTGCCAGGCCTATACTTGCCTACCTGTTCAACTCTTGGCTGCAGGAATGAAGGAGGTGACCAGAACTTGGAAAATAGTAGGTGGAGTCACACATGCTAATAGCTATTACAAAAATGGCTGGCTAGTCATGATAGCTATTGGATGGGCCCGAGGTAATATTAACAATATGTGTTCATATGTATTCTAATATTGGTGTACCACAACTACTGAACAGTTCTCTCGTTACGATTGATGGAGACTACACACTTTAATAATAGCCTTTCTGGAAGATGGAAGCCTTGTTTCTGCTGGCTGATTAAGTTACTTTGCAACTAGTACTATCATTAGTCATTATTTTAAGCCCGAATGCCCTATACTATGTAAATTTTACATTGGATTGATTTGAAACACCAGCACCAGAGAAATTCACAGCTGATTAAGGTGGACCACCACCATAAATGGAGTCCTGGTGTGGTGCTGTGGGTTAATGTGCTAGACTGCAAATCTGTTTGAACTGCAAGGTTGGCGGTTCAAGCTTACCAGCTGCTCCTTGGAAACCCTATACAGGGTCGCTATGAGTGTGAATCAGTTCTACAGCACTTCACAACAACAACAACAACCACCATAAATGAAATGCTATTGCTGTTAAAGTGCCATTGAGTCTGTTCTGACTAATTAAGTTACCTCATAGTGACCCTGCATAGGGGTTCCAAGGAGCAGCTGGTGGATTTAAGGCACCAATTTTATGATTAGCAGTCCAGTGCTTATCCTGTAGTGCCACACCAGGACTCCTGAGAAAAATCATGTGGCACTTGTAAATAAAACACGTTGCCCTGTCATTTCTGTTTGTGTATTTCTTAAACCCTGAATAACTTGGATATATGTAGTAAATATGATTGAGTTTGGGTTAATGTTTACTCTTATGACTTCCTTTTATTGTTGAATTTGTATGTGGGGTTTGAGTAAGTTTCTCTAATGTATGTTACGGAGATATATATATAAACCTGAAATTAATCATATCAGAGAAGGGAATAATAAAATAGGAGATTGTTTCCTTAGGTTTGAAACAAGCCCTTAGCCAGTCCTGGTGTGCCCAAGTCCCCAGTGTTACCCATAATTATAGTAGAATAAACAGTGTGCTGGGGAAAGGGAAGGATTGCAATAGTCTCAGAGTCATTAGTAAATATACAAGACAACATTTGTCTTCCTTCTAAGAAGGATGTTTTGGTATTTTAAACTGGGAGATAGAATAATGGTTCCACCTCAGTTATTGTCTCAAGCGAAATTGGACTAAATATTATTATTGTTATTATTTTCAGGTGCAGGTGGTAGTATTATCACAAATTTTGAGCAGTTAATAAAAGGAACTTGGAAGCCAGAAGTTGATGAATGGCTGAAGCTATCTTAGTAAGTTGGCATAAACTATACTGAAACCTTGTTTTTTCTCCTTTATCTTACCAAATTTATATTTAAGAACATTTTGGGGACTCTAAGTGTAGATGAAATGTAGCTGTTGAAACTACCTACTAATAAATAATACATGGGAAAAGTCTATTATTTCAAATGTATTTTCTAAACAAATACTGATCCCCTTTATGTCCTCCTCCAACTCCCTTCAGAAAAAAAACCACAACAAAGAAAAACCCTTTGCACAGTTAGATTGTAGGGAGAGTCCCTTTTATGAGGAGAGAACTAACTACGTAGGAACAGACTTCTCTGGATGGCAGTTAATCAGTTTCAAACTCCACATTTTCTATGATGTCACCCAGATTTCAGATTTTACATAGTTCTGGTAGTAAAATATCAAGCTTATGGGAACAATCAATGCATTGAACCATGTGAGCTGCTTCAAAAGTAAAAGATACGTGAGCTTAAAAAAAAAAAAAAAGAGAAAAACCACTGCCAGCCAGTTGATTCTGTCTCATAGCAACCCATATATGGTTTCTAAGGCTATAAATCTGTACGGGAGCAGAAAGCCTCATCTTTATCCCATGGATTTGAACTGCTGACTCTGAGGTTAGCAGCCCAGTGCTTATCCTATAGTGCTACTGTAAAAAGAAAAAAAAAATAGAGGGAATAACCCTCTCTGTACTTGTGAGGTTCAAATTAATTTAAGAGAATCGAATTGTTGCATGTTCTCTAATGACACATTCTTAAGTAAGTTACATATATATCCCAGATGTACCTGACAATAAAATGGGAGTTCTAGTTGCTGTTCCCAAATTCTACAAGGAAAAGATTTAGAGATTAGCGGCCAGAATAAGCAAGGTGGAGAAAGACTATCATGTGAAAACAGATGGATTGGATTGGATTAAGGAGCCCTAGGGCTGAACAGTTAAGTGTTAGGTTACTAACTTTAAGGTCGGTGATTTGAATCCCCCAGCTGCTCTGTGGGAGAAAGATGTGGCAGTCAGCTTTTGTAAACAGATTACAGCCTTGGAAACCATGTTGCCTAGGGTTGCTATGAGTTGAAACCAACTCTATGGCAACGGGTTTAGAATGGATTAAAAATTAAGGTTGAGAAACATTGTTGTGTGCCATCGAGTTGGTTTGGACTTATAGAGATGCTGTCTAGCATTTCCAAAAGTGGCTGATGGGTTTGAACTGCCTACCTTGTGGTTACCAGGTCAGTACTGATCCCCCAGCATGATGAAATATGTTTGAGTGAACCAACAAATTCCAGGATGTAGAACTTGGAAAATGTCCCTTCAAATTTACAGGAGGTAGTTTAGAAATGGAACAAATGAAGTTTTGATTGAAAATAAATAATAAAATATTAGGGTATTCATGGAGGAATTTTCCTTATTTTGTGGTATGTGTCCTGAAAGGAGGAATTCTGGTGGCACAGTGTGTTAAGGATTGTGCTGCTAACTGAAAGTTCAGCAGTTTGAACTTACCGGCTGCATCTTGGAGGAAAGCCCAGACTGCTTCCGTACAGATTGATAGCCTCAGCAAACCTGCCCTGCACTATAGGGTCACTATGTGTTGGAATCTACTCAGTGACAACAAGTAAAAACAGATAGCTGCAGAATCATAGAAATCTTTATTAAATAAAAATAACAAAATGTGAAGCAATTGTTTCTTGAGATACCATCACCTGTTTAGGTCTGTACACTTCTGAAGAAAGTGTTTTTATTTCTTTAGCCCTTCCCTGAAGAATTCATTTATACCACGTCAAAATGGCAGTTTGTCATCCTTGAGGGACCTAAATCTTATTCCTTTTAGAAAAAATCATGGTGATTTGAGAACAAAAAGGGTGGATGGGGCCTGGGTTCCCAATGAAATGCCACTAGGACAGTCCTTGCTGCCTTCAAAGAATGAGTGCGTGCAGTGTCCTGATGGACAAAATACCTTGACAAAACTTTCAGTTTTCTTAAAATTCGTCATTAATAAGCCCCATGCGGTCATCCTGTGAGAAAATTATCAAGATTATCTCTGGAGTCCCCCAAATAATTGCTGTAGTCTTATTAGCACACCTCTCTGCCATGAATTGAGTTGACTCAGTACATCTCATAAGTCACTGTTTTGATTGCACCTTTTTTTTATTAAGGTGCCTTAATGAGGTTAAGACAATTATATTACTAAGAGAACTTGTCTGGTAGCAGAGATGTACTTAACGGTGTTTTGTTTGGTGTAAATCCATGCATGTGTGAACTGGAACCCTAGCAGTAATACTTTTAAACTTTTCCTTGTATACTTTAACATCTTCATTTTAATATATTAAGATACTGTCTAAATCTATAAGCAATGATGGGTAGGAGGTGACTCATACTGGTTCATGAGAGCAGACTGTATGCCTCTCTTCTCCATTCCATGCTTAGTGACATCATGCTGGCAATCTGAAACTGGTAATCATGAGATACCATGGAAATCAAATCTACAGATCAACAAATTAGGTCTTCTTCTTCCTCCCCACTTTGCCCCAGAGAGTTAATTTGCCACTGTAAGGGTTCTCTTAATAGATAAATTGACTTTTCCAAATCATGCTGTGGAGCATGGGACTTTCACATCCTTTGTGTAAAAAATTCTTAAGGTTATATGACAAATACATTTTCAGAAATACTGTACATTAACACTTCCTCTCCTTGTTGGAATCACAATATATAAGAACATACTGAAATCTTTTATAAGTATATGCTGTGAAGAAACCTGTTTAACTCTGTATAACGCAAAAGTTAAATACATTTTTTAAGTATGCTGACAGAACTCATTTAGCATTTTCAGAGCACATTAAGAAATGTAAAGCTAGATTACATTTACTAGTTAATGACTTAAAAAAAAAATGTGTTTAATTTTCAGCCCTTCCAAAGTAACCCTGCTAGGGTCAGTTATGTTCACGTTCCAGCAAACCAAGTATGTGGGAATATCAAAGCACAACCTGATGTTCTTCTACACCATCTTTCTCGTGACCACAAAGGTAAGAATTCTAAGGAATGATCAATCAGTTCTACAAATCCTCTATAACCATTACCTTTTGATAGAATTCTGAATATTGGGCAAGTCAGTAACATGTATTTATTTTATAGGACAAACATTCCTTATTTAAAAATTACAAAAAAAAAAAATTTTTCTTGTGAATTGAGTGAAGGTTTATAGAGCAAGCAGATTATCAGTTTTACATTAAACAAATCCTATAATTTGTTTCAATGATTGCAGTCGGCACCATGTAACCACAGTTATCTCACTTCTTCCCTGAGGTAATGGTCTCCATTTCACCCTCCTTTCTATCCCTTCTCAACTTTGTCCTCAGGTAAATGTTACCATTTTGATCTTGAATGGGTGACCATTCCACGGTGAGCAGACCTTACTCACATTATTGCCCCCACTATGTACCTACCAACTGCTTAGCTGGAACACGGGGCCAGTGCCATTCCAGACCAGAAGGGTGGTCAAGAGCCATAGTCTCGGGCTCCTCCTGTCTCTTTCTGACCAATAAGCCTGTTCTTTATTTTTACAGTTTTGAGTTTTGTTCTGTGTTTTCTCCCACTCTATTCAAGACCTTCTAATGTGATCACTTTTAGAGCAAGTGGTAGGGGTAGCAGGGCACCATCTAGTTCTTCTGGTCTCAGAGTCATGGTGATTGAAGAAACATTTATTTTTATTGTTAGTATAATTTAAAAAGATGAATTTGGGGTGTTTATTCAGCACATACATATGTGACTCTCAGAAACAATCCATCATGATTCCTCTTTTGCTTTGGTTTGTCTATTAGCAAAACCATGTAGATCTTCTGAGTTTATTGGAGGCCAGCTAATAGAATAGTCAAGGCTGATCGGAGATTGCAAAGGTGTTATTGTCTCATTTCTATGGTGAGCTACTTGAGTTAAATCTTCTCTTTATTTCTTTATGTTCTTAAAATTTCAAGATTTTATTAGGACCTATTTTTAGTCAATCTCTGTTATTACTGCTTGGCTGAAAGCTTTATTCCCTCTTGAAAATAGGAGCATTATTGTATAAGAGCTTTTAGAAACAGTCAGTCTTGGGTTCAAATCCCAGTTTTGCTGTTTAATCTCTGAATAGTTAAGTCACTCAGTGTCTCTGACTCCCAGTTTCTTCATCATCATCATCATCACATGGCTGCTGAGAGGAACCGAGATGGTGGTTTGCCATTTGATCACTGTACCTGACAGATCTTAGGAACTTTATTTGCAGGTGTTTCATGAGGCTAATTCTGATTATTAGTATTGCAATTATTAGGGATTGGTTCTCTTCTCACAAGTATGTAGTTAATTTTAAAATGAGATTATCATCTAAGCCTAGAGAAATTTTATAACAAACTCTGTCTCAGAGTTTTTGACTAAAGAGTTATCCACAGAATTCTTAACAGTAACACAGTATAGATTATATAGATTCATATCTAAGAAGGAAGCACAGTGGCTCTGATCACAAGGTCGGTGGTTCAAGCCCCACAGCTGCTCCATAGGAGAAAAACAGGTCTTTCTGTTTCTGCAAAAATTTACAGCCTCATAAACCTTATATAGGTTTCTATGAATCAGAATCAACTCAGTGACACTTAACAACATCACATATAAGAAACAACCATGTCACTATAAAGATCATTTATTTTAATTTCAATAGTTTTTACAGTGGAAAGGATTTAACTTTTTTTCAGCAGTGTTTTGTGTAGTGTTCAGTGTTTATCTTACATTTCTTTAGTTAAATTTATTCCTATGTATTTTATTATTTTGTTGTTACAGTAAGTGGAATTGTTTTTTCAGTTTTATCTTTTGGATTGTTCATTTCAAATTTGTAGAAATGTACTTGATTTTTGTACATTGATCTTATATCCCATATCCTTGCAGAACTTATTTATTAGCTTTAGTGCATTTTTGTGTGTGCATATTCCTTGTGTTTTATATATACAAGATCATGTCATCTGCAAATAGAGAGTTTTCACTTCGTCCTTTCCAATAAGCTTTTAATTTAATGTTCTTTCCTAATTGCCATGCCTAGAATCTCCAATACATGTTAAATAGACATGGTGAGAGTCGACATCCTTGTCTTGTTCCTGATCTTAGGGGGAAAGCCTTCAGTCTTTAACCACTACGTGTGATGTTAACTGTGGGTTTCTCGTTAATCCCGTTTATCAGGTTGAGGAGATTCTCTTCTAGTCCTTGTTTACTGAGAATTTTTTTTTTTTATCACGGAGGGCTGTGGAATTTTTGTCAAGTGGTTTTTTGCCCCTTGCATTGATTGAGTCAATCATATGGTTTTCTCCTCTATTTTGTTAATATAGTGGATTGCATTGATTGATTTAAAAATTATTGTATCAGCCTTTCATTTATGTGATAAACCTCACTTCATACTTTAGAATCCTTTGTATATATTGCTGGATTTAATTTGCTAACAGTTTATCAGATTTTTTCCCCCTGTATATTCATGAGGGATTAGGCTTGCATTTTTCTTCATAGTGTCTTTGTTCTTTGTCTGACTTTTGTATAAACATAAATTAAGGTCATTAAATAAGTTGAGATGTGTTCAGTTCTTCTCTGAAAGTTTGTGTAGGTTTGATATTTCTTAGTTAAATGGTAGATTGTATAGTGAATACATCTGGGCGTGGAGTTTTCTTTAAGGGAAAGTATTTTGATGACCATCAGTTTCTTTGATAAATGCTTTCTAAAGCCCCCTCATATAGGTTATAGAGATTTTTTATTTCATTAGTATCTGATTTTCTGTATTTTATTTTTCAAGAAGTTTTTGTAATTTATCCTAAGTTTTCAGCTTGTTGGCATAAAGTTATTGTTGTTATTGTTTTTAGTGCCTGTATAGGATTTGTGTCTGCATTAATTCTTGATGTTGGTATTTTATATCTTTCCTCTCTTTATAAATCAGTGTAGCTAGAAGTTAATTAGTTTATCAACTTATTTCAAAGAACTAATGCTAGGTTTCATTCATTTTCTGTCATTAATTTCTGCTCTTTATTATGTCCTTGTACATACTTTGGGATTACTTGGTTCTTTGTGTTTTCTAGCTTCTTAAAGGTGTAACTTTAGGTCATTATGTTTTACCTTTTTTTTCATAACATAAACAGTAAAGCTATAAATTTCCCTCTAAGTGTTCTTTTAGTTGTTGTTGTTGTCAGGTGCCATCGAGTCGGAACCGACTCATAGCGACCCCATGCACAGCAGAATGAAACAATGTCTGATCCTGGGCCAACCTCACTACCGCTGCCACACTTGAGCCCATCAGTGATGCCACCTGGCCAATCCATCTCGTTAGGGGTCTTCCTCTTTTTCTCTGACCCTCCACCTTACCCAGCATGACATACTTCTCCAGTGACTATTTCCTCCGGACAATATGTCCAAAGTATGAGAGACGAAGCTTAGCCATTTTGGCCTCCAAGGAGCACTCTGGCTGCACTTCTTCCAAAACAGATATACTGGTTCTTTTGGCAGTCCATGGCACTTTCAGTATTCTCCTCCAACACTACTAATGTATTCTTTTAGTTACACCCCATCAATTTTAACTAATATATTCTTTTAGTATATTCTTTATATTCTTTAGTAACTAATATATTCTTTTAGTATATTCTTTATATTCTTTAGTAACTAATATATTCTTTTAGTATATTCTTTATATTCTTTAGTAACTAATATATTCTTTTAGTTACTCCCCATAAATTTTAATATATATATTTTTTTTATGGTTCAAAATATTTTACAATACCCTTTGTGATCCTTTTCTTTGATCTGTGGCTTATTGGTATATTTATCTAGATATTTTTCTGTAATTGGCTTTTAGTTTAATTTCATTCTGATTAGAGAACATATACCATATTTTTTCAATTCTTTTAACTTTATTGAGACTTAATTTTAAATCTAGCATATTTTGATGAATTTTCTGTGTGCTTTTTTTTTTTTTTTTTTTTAAGGTTTTTATTGTGGATTGAGTGAAAGTTTTCAGGGCACATCATCGGTTTCACATTCAAACATTCATATACCTTGTTTCATTACATTGATTATAATCCCCTCCACATACCATCAGTTAACAGAGTTTCTCTATATCCTCTTTAGCTTTTTTGGGGGCGGGATCTGTGTGCTTTTAAAAAGATCGTATATTCTGCTGTTTTGGTAGGGGTTAGCTCTACTAGACATTAAAATAGATCAGATTAATGTAGTTGCATGGTGTTGAGTTGATTCTGAATCATAGTGACCCTATAGAACTTACCCACAGAGTTTCCTAGGCTGAAATCTTTACAGGAACAAATCTTCTGGTCTTTTCTCCCTCAAAGTGGCTGGTGGGTTTAAACTGCCTTTTGGTTAACAGGTAAGCACTTAAACATTGTGCACCTGGGCACCTTAAAATCTACATAAAGCCCTTATAATTAAAATGGTGGTACTGGAACATGAATTGTTGTTGTTAAGTGCCATCAAGTTAGTTTGGAACATGAATAGACAAGTCCAAAAATAGATCCAAATACCTAAAGGAATTTAGTATGTGATAAGGGTCCTATCACAAATTAATGAGGATAGGCCAAGGTGCTGGAATAATTGCCAATTTGGAAATTGCTTCACACCACACACAGAATCCTTACTTCACACCATCTGCAAAAATAAACTCCAAGTGTATGTTTTTGGATCTAAATGTCTGGCACATAGTAAGTTTTTACTGTATACAAGTGTGTTCTGGGAGGAAAGATTAACTTGGCAAATTTTGCTTATGTAGATACAGTAGTAGCCTTTGCATTATTTATGTGAGGTAGGATGCTCTGTTCATTCATTCTTTATACTCTGAATGCTCGATACTATCGAGTATATAAAACACAAGTACCATTCCTGCCCTGAAAGAACTTGTACTGTGTGTCACCATTTTGAAATAGTATAATTTGAGATAATATATATAGAATGTGGTAGATCTTTCAACAATTTATTTATCCAAATCAATTTCTATTTTAGGGTTTAAATTTTTTTTTTTTCT